TTACACTTAAGATACTGTTCCAGCACCACCCACAGATAGTCGACTACAATAACTTCATGAAATGACAATAACAAGCGGTTCTGTATTTGGCTGTGTTTTCTCAGTATTTTATTTAAGGCTGCACCTTTACATCAAGGGGAAATATGATATATATAATTTCGTTGACTTTATTTGACATAACCAGATACACATTTTCATACCCACTCACACAAAAAAATATATGTTAGCATCTTCGGCTCTACAAGAATTTAAAATAAAGTTATCATGGTTTGAACATTTGAATAATTAACATGAGTGTAATACATATGAATATGTAGGTAGCCTATGTTTAAAAAAGCTGCAATCTACTGAATGTCCACTAACTGTTAAAATGACAATACTAACCTTATACAGAGACTAACTTCATCCTGAACCAGCCTATCAGAACCTTTTGGACAGAGGTCAGGAAACTCTACACTGCCCCCCCCCCCACACACACACACAAATACGCTCCCCAGGATGAGCAAAAGTTTTCAGTTGTCTTCATCTACTGATTACCCTGTCATTTGGACTCTGGTTCACTGAACAAATCTATACTATGCTAATGTCTCAGTTTGCTTCCCAGTTCACACCCATTAAACCCTTTCAAAGGTCTCCTCATCAATGTGTGAGGATCTTGAGCTGAGGAACATAGAACCCTGGGAACACAGATACGCTCCAAACAGAATGGGAACAGTTTAACATCAGAGGAGGATTTATAGAAAAACCTAGACCTGTTGTGCTGGAGGGGCGAAAGTGAAAGGAGAAATGTGTGTCGAGGGAAGAATCGTAGCAACTTATGTAAGTTATACAGTCACTGGTAATAAAGTAATATAGTAATTTATAAATCAATTATTGATTCTACTGTAGCGTATTTCTGAACGTCCCAGACTCTTAATGCCACTCTTCAGATTTTCTCTTTAATCAGCCCAGTTCCTCTTTTTCTGGACTGTTACCTCTAGCCACATCTGTGACTTCTACATTCTCTACATGAGTCAATCACTGCAAATTTTAATTAATAGTACTACTAATTTTATTTATTTGACCTTTATTTAAATAGGGGGAAAGACCCATTGAGATAAAATCTCTTTTTTTTAAGGGTACCCTGGACAAGACAGGGATCAGGACAGCAAGTCTGACAGTACATAAAACAACAATAAAAAATACAATCAAAACATTTACCCTTTGCAAATTTATTCATTTAGCTGATGCTTTTATCCAAAGCGACTTACAATTGCTATACATGTCAGAGGTTGCACGCCTCTGGAACAACTAGGGGCTAAGTGTCTTGCTCAGGGTCACAGTGGTGGATTGAACCTGGGTCTCTCACACCAAAGACATGTATCTTATCCATTGTGCATCTCATACACCTTTTACCTACACTCACCTAAAGGATTATTAGTTCAATTTCTCATTAATGCAATTATCTAATCAACTAATCACATAGCAGTTGCTTCAATGCATTTAGGGGTGTGGTCCTGGTCAAGACAATCTCCTGAACTCCAAACTGAATGTCAGAATGGGAAAGAAAGGTGATTTAAGCCATTCTGAGCGTGGCATGGTTGTTGGTGCCAGACGGGCCGGTCTGAGTATTTCACAATCTGCTCAGTTACTGGGATTTTCACGCACAACCATTTCTAGGGTTTACAAAGAATGATGTGAAAAGGGAAAAACATCCAGTATGCGGCAGTCCTGTGGGCGAAAATGCCTCGTTGATGCTAGAGGTCAGAGGAGAACGGGCCGACTGATTCAAGCTGATAGAAGAGCAACTTTGACTGAAATAACCACTCGTTACAACCGAGGTATGCAGCAAAGCATTTGTGAAGCCACAACACGCACGACCTTGAGGCGGATGGGCTACAACAGCAGAAGACCCCACCGGGTACCACTCATCTCCACTACAAATAGGAAAAAGAGGCTACAATTTGCAAGAGCTCACCAAAATTGGACAGTTGAAGACTGGAAAAATGTTGCCTGGTCTGATGAGTCTCGATTTCTGTTGAGACATTCAGATGGTAGAGTCAGAATTTGGCGTAAACAGAATGAGAACATGGATCCATCATGCCTTGTTACCACTGTGCAGGCTGGTGGTGGTGGTGTAATGGTGTGGGGGATGTTTTCTTGGCACGCTTTAGGCCCCTTAGTGCCAATTGGGCATGGTTTAAATGCCACGGCCTACCTGAGCATTGTTTCTGACCATGTCCATCCCTTTATGGCCACCATGTACCCATCCTCTGATGGCTACTTCCAGCAGGATAATGCACCATGTCACGAAGCTCCAATCATTTCAAATTGGTTACTTGAACATGACAATGAGTTCACTGTACTAAAATGGCCCCCACGGTCACCAGATCTCAACCCAATAGAGCATCTTTGGGATGTGGTGGAACGGGAGCTTCGTGCCCTGGATGTGCATCCCACAAATCTCCATCAACTGCAAGATGCTATCCATCAATATGGGCCAACATTTCTAAAGAATGCTTTCAGCACCTTGTTGAATCAATGCCACGTAGAATTAAGGCAGTTCTGAAGGCGAAAGGGGGTCAAACACAGTATTAGTGTGGTGTTCCTAATAATCCTTTAGGTGAGTGTATATACAAATGCAACAGACGCAACTCACTATCAAACCAGTACATTAAAACTTCAATCAGCAGTTAAAATACATCCATGTAATACCTGCTTATTCAAAAACCGTTACATTCATCATTAAGAAATAGCACGAGGCTATTAATGTAAAGCAATGTTTGGTAATTATACAATGATAGCGTTGATTTACAATATTTGTACAGCACACTGACACGTGTATGTAGTTACATTACTATTTATTAAAAAGGAGGACATCTATTTTTGACAATAACAGCTACAAGCATCTACCTTGTGGACATTTTTTGGCTAAGCTTACATTAGAAAGTGTGTTCCTCTGGAAAACACAACGTTTTAAAATTCAGATCAGATTTACCTTTCTAACATTCCTTTTAGTAATCCCATGGTACCAGGGTCAATTTATTTTAATAACTAATGTAATCTTTATGACTTCAGATAGAACAGACAGGTGACTATCAATTATTGTCATGAATTAATTTATTAAATCTCCAATAAACTCATAAATCAGCATGTTAAGTGGTTTGTGCCTGTGTACTGTCTTACAATAGTCTAGGTGTGAGGTGTATAGGCACACCAGTTTGTCAGGACCAGAAAGGTCAAGACTAGGCTGAAAGCAGATGCCATACCACCATCTTTGTGCATTGTCCTCAGACCTGTAAATATTAAAGTATAACATTAAGCTGCTGATCAAAAAAAGCATTACTACTTATTTTGAGGTGGTAAAATATTGTTTTAAATAAATATTACATTAACAGTACCATGTCTTCTACTTGCATCTATTTCAGAGATTGAGGAAAGAAGGAATATAGAGAAAGAAGGGATGCAGACACTGAGAAAAGGGAAAGAAAATAATTTTACATTTTAAGTATGATTTCTTAGAAATGGCCTACTATAATAGGCATTTACAACCATGTGTTGTTTTCTGTCTCATCTTAGTCCTCCACCACGCAGTCTACTGCTCTAATATAATTAATGTTTGCTATGAAGATAGTTTTATAAAAATAAATAAATAACATTTTGAAATCTTTTATTCATACACGCACCACTCGTATATTTTAATAAAATTAAATACCATTCCCCCAGAATACATATTTTAAAATAAATGAATAAATCAATTTCTTTAAAAGCTCTATTGAATATCATGACCTTGTTTTTTGGGGTATTTAAGAGTAATTTGAGATTGTTCAATGAGAACTGCAATGCAGAGAACGTAACCTGAAGCTCCGTGACAGCCTGAGCCAGGGTGGGAGCACATGTGTATATATAACCATGTACGTAAATGGTGAAATTAACGGGAGCCAAGATCGAGCCCTGGGGGACACCTCTGGAGATTTCAAGGGGTTTAGATATGTGATTTTCAACAGACACTGAAAAAAGTAGTTTATAAACCAATTCACGGCCTCTTTACCAAAACCCACGTTAATTAGTCTGGATAGCAATAACAGTAAGTCATGATCAACTGAGTTAAATGACTTGGATAAATCAACAAATAACGCAGCACAGTGCTGTTTTTCATCAACAGAATTAATGATATTGTTATTAATATTAGGATGGGGCTGTATGAGGTACTTATCCAAAGTCAGTGTAATTATAAGGTTGTCTGTGTAACCATGTTTGACGGAAGTGATTTACCGCAGCAGTGGTGAAAAAGGGACGCCAACCGTTTCACTATGACTTGAGAAATTGAGAAAAAAATGTTTAGTAAAATGTTAACTTTATAAAGCTTTTCTCAGGCTGCTGTCTGTAAGCTGTAATGATGTCTTTCAGCCTGTGAGAGGCGCTGTGACCATGTGATGAGCAGAGATGCACATTTCTGAGGGTTTTTGAGTTTCAGAGATTAAATTAATCAAAATGACAGTTAAAAAGTAAAAAGTAAATTAAAGTTATGAGAGCAGTTCACTGCTAAGACTTCACTTTGTTCTGTTAAAATTCAAAGCAAACAACTTAAAATCCTGTTAAATAAGAAAAAACTGGCTTTTAAACAGGGCAGTGTCACTGAACTAAACTCTATACAAAAAGAGATGAAACGGGAAATAAAAAGGTGTAAAAGGAGTTATAAAGATAAAGTAGAAAGACAACAAAGTAATAATAGTTTGGGCTGAGCATGGGACAGAGTCAAGAATATTGTTGGACTTAATGACAAAAAAAGGAAACAGACATTTTTAGAAGGTTTTACAGCAGACTCTGCACTGGCACAGGAGTTTATTCTAGGTTCGATGTCCACAATTATAGTAAAGAAACGGGTGCATTAAGGGACAGTCTAATTAACTCTGGTCTTCTTACTCCTTGTTTTTCTGAACGCAATGTTGTGAACACTTTCAAACATTGCAAGTCTTGTAGAAGCCCTTGCCCCGACAACATTAGCAGCCGCATACTGACCCATTGTGCCGATCAATTAGGCTTCATTTTTTATTATATTTTTAATCTGTCTTTGTGCCAACATAGTCCCAAACTTATGGAAACAATCTACAATTATTCCCATCGCAAAAAGCAACCACCCAAAAATTCTGAATGACTACAGACCTGTAACTTCATTAGTTATGAAGTCCTTTGAAAAACTGAAAAAGAAAGAACTGCTGGTAGGATTGAACGCCTCCTCGACCCCCTGCAGTTTGCGTACAGAGCCAACAGGGGGGTGCAGGACGCTACCATAACTCTGCTCAACCTCATATACAAGCATTTAGAGGGTAACAAAAACCATGTCAGACTGCTGTTTGTGGATTTCTCATCTGCCTTTAACACCATCCAGCCCCATTTATTGGTACAGAAGCTCATAGAAAAAAACTTTGGGTTGGACTACAACCTGGTGGGATGGATTTAGAACTTTCTCACTAATAGGACACAGAGAGTGAGAGTAAATGGACATCTTTCTGGAATATCAGTGACATCAACCAGCTCCCCTCAAGGCTGTGTTCTCTCTCCTCTTTTATACATTATGTACACCAACGACTGCCGCAGTGAACTGACCAATAACTATATTGTAAAGTTTGCAGATGACACAGTCATTGTAAGTTTAATGGACTCCACTGAAACATCTCACGGCCCTGTACTACACTATTTTTTAAACTGGTGCAAAGAAGCCTTTTTAGACTTAAATGTTACGAAGACAAAAGACATGATTTCCAACTCCTGAAAAGATGATTATAGATGGAAAAGAGGTTGAAATTGTTGAGTCGTATAAGTATCTGGGAATCATCAGTGATAACAAGTTGACCTTTGAACTAAACACAGATATGCTGAGTAAGAAAAGTCAGCAACGTCTTTTCTGTCTGAGAAAGCTAACTAAGTTTCAAGTGGACAGATCCCTGACGACATTGTTTTATAAATCTTTTATTCAGTCCGTCTTTACTTACTATCTTAAATCTACTTTACTATCATGTATTTGCTGGTATGCTTCTCTTAGTTTAAAACAGAAAAACACATTAGCAATGGTAAATAAAGTTAGCAGCAAAATCATTGGGAGCTAACTGAACTGTAAAATAGACATGTGCTTAAAAAGGCAGAATCCATCATGTCTGATAGTTCTCACACCCTGCATGCAGAATTTAAGTTGCTGCCTTCTGGTTCCCGCTTCAGTCAACCACAGGCCAAAACAAAGCGATATAAATTCTCCTTCTTTCCCTATGCTATCTCTCTGCTTAACTCTGTAAAGAATAGGTAACGCACATAAGGCTCACTTGAACTTAAACTTTTAATGTTGTGGTATTCATTTACCCATTGGTCTGACCCTGTATTTTTAATCGATGTCGTCGTCTTTGTTGTTATGTACTGGGTGTCAACTTCTTTGCTGCTGCAGCAAAATTAATCGCCCCTTGGGGACAAATAAAGGTCTTGAAATTGAACTGGTGTTAAATTCTTAAGAAATAATAACCAAAGATGTTTGTTTTGTTTTTTAAAACCTTAATTGCTGCTAATTTAGTCATAAATATTTCATGTTGGGGTGAAATACTATAACCATTTGAAGCCACGTTTTCAGGGTTTTTAAACTAAAACAAATATTAAAAAAAAAAAAATCAGGAATTCATATACAAGATTGTTATAAAACCTGATTGTTTATAATGAAATACAGCCTTTTTATGCTGCATTCAAACAATGATTGATTGATTTTATAGATTAGACACAGTGTTTTCTAAAGGAAAACAGTGAAAACATTTGTTTTCAACATGGCCCCACGAAGTTAGAAAACAAAGAAAACACAAAGAAGCATGAGACTAAAATCAAAAAGCACATCACCACAATTAAAGAAATAAAAAAAAACTCCACATCAAAAAACAAAAACAGCTTAAGTAACAATGCCATTTCAAATGACATTATCAATCTGTTACCCTGATCCATAAAAATGTCCTGCTGACCCAACATGAAGCTGAACACAACCAGTAAAAAGGAACTTCTGGCTACATTATTCACTGGCAGCACTTTACATGAAGCACACACCTGGTATTATAGCTGCTGAGTATGCAGGACCACTGTTATCTGAGAACATTGAGGAGCATACCCGTACATCTGTCTCAACATTCAGACTGACTCTTTTTGAAGTTGATGCAGTCTTCTCCGAAGTTGATGATGTTTGTCAGCGTGCTCAGGAGCAGCGAGTCAACGTCATTGTTGAGGTCGATTTCTTCATGGTAGTTCTTCACAGGGAAGATGCAGTTCATGGGAAAACCCACATCTGCACTGAACTGCTCCATCTACAGTTTAAAAAGATCAACAGCTCAGTTAACATCTCAGAGTTTTAAAGGCTTTTTGTGCTCACTGCACCAATCTGGACTGGACAACTGATAACAACTTTATTAAGTGGATCAGGTGTTGGCCAAACGTAACCGATCCATGCATTTTGCAAGTGTCGTTTAAATTGTATATTTCCCAGTGGAGAATTGAACAAATAAAATTACAATAATAACAAACTGTTGTTTTGGGCTAATTTATTAAAAATGAGAAAAGAACAGAGTTCAGCTGGCTCAGATGTGTACCACGAGGAAAGAACTGCATAAACTTTTTAAGACAGTGGCACAAATGTTTTGTCTACAGAGGAGCCTTTCTCAGCCTTGAAACTTTGGGAAGGGAACAAGAAGAAAACAATTCAACAGCATATTGGACAGTATAATAACAAAGAAGGTTGAGTATTAAGCATGCATAAGTAATAATAGTAATTTAAGCATAACAGAATCGGTATAAGGAGAGAAAAAGTCGGACAGTGCGCAAATATTGAAAACGTTTTGACTCAAACTTCAAATGTGATTCCACCTCTGTGAATTCATAATATTACCTATTAAACCTACCTTATTCTTCAGAGACTTGCTCTTGTAGACGTTCTGTAAATCTTGTTTGATTTCAGGACAGACTTCATCAATTTTGGTGAGGATGGCCACTTGAGGAATTCCTGCCAGGAGAACACAAAACTACTGAATCATGTAACTGACCACAGCTGCTGTTCTCTGTGATGATGGAAACTACAAACAGCTGCAGGAGGGGAGTCTTCCATACTTTCAAACATTTTGAGTGGAGTACCAATCAGTGTGTTTCATTAAATATCCAATAAAGAGAAGAATAAACAGAGATTCCTGCTCTCACCCAGGTTGCTGGCTTCCAGCCTGATGTTCCGAATCTTCTCTATAGTTAAATATGTCATTCCAGACACTATGTTGGCATTAATGACACAGACCAGAACGTGCACTTTGTCATTGGCAGTGGGATATTTGTTGTAGAATTGATCTCCCTCTGACAACGGTGATTCAGGTTTGAACTGGAAATTGTTTTAAAATCAAGTTAATTGACAGTTACAGTATGTATAAATAAATAATATCATTCAAATTAATCATATGAGCTCAGTTGTGAGAAAAGTCTGCAAAGTTTGTAGCAACTTTACCCTGTAACCGTCCTTCACATGTCCCTTCAAAGCCAGTTTGATGTCTTCCACTTGGACACCATTGGTTGTTTGCAGGCCCATGATGTCACTGAAGACAAAAGGGTAAAAGGACTCTGGACTTTCTTTTTGGATCTTGTAGGTTGTGTACTGTAAAAAAAAACATATGGAGAAAAGCACACAGCATACAGTAAACAGTATAAGACCCCTTTTTTCCAGTTTGGTTCGAATGCCTTTATTGTCCACAAATGTGGAAAATTGACTTTGGGGTTTAAAAACCCCATCTTTAAAAATCATAATACAAAACAATAAATAACACAACATACACAGTACACACCATACCAGAAAGTTATCCAGTGTAGAGTGAGTCCAGTGTTGCCATACCATGTACATATATCAAAAGTTAGAATGCGATAAACACTCGTTAGTTCTTGTTGTGTGGAACAAGTGGCAGCTCTAGTTTTATGTTCACAATAACACAGCACATTACAAACAGAACAGAAAATGTGAAGTTGTTAAAAGTGAAATATATACTGACAGTTAACTTAGTCATTTAACAGTTTTGACCTTGCTATATAATATAATCTAGCTATATATATTGCATATACACACATTTAATACATTCTAAAATCACACATCTTCTATCAAAACAGTCAAAGCTGGTTTCTCTTTCTTTTTTACTGAGACGTTGAAGCAGTTGTAGTTGCCTAAACTTGATCATACCCTAACCACAAGGGCAGCAAAAACAGGAAGTCAGTTGAGCTATGAAGCTTCCGCAGTGTCAGTGCTTCCTGCTGATTGTGGGTTCTAACAGTTCATTTGCAGTAGCTGTGTCACTGCTGCAAATTTTCAGAAACTTACCTTCTTGAGTAATAGGTTCTTGTCTTACAACATAATGCTATGATCTCCTTTCTATAGTTTTTCAAAAACAAACATTTCCATAAAAGTTTATATATTTTCCAAAATGCGTAGAAATCTGTGATTTGTTAATTCATTTGAACCTTTATTTAACTGAAAAAGTAGGCCTACAAAGAACATATTTTCAATAATTTACTGACCAGTGTAATTGTATTTTGTGAATATAAACAAAGTTAGAATTTCACACCTGCAACACACTCAGCAAAAGTTGGGACAGAGTTGAAATAAGATCGAAAAGTGCAAGTAACATCTGTTTGGTAGACTGCACAAAAACCAGGCTAACTGGTAGCAGGTTATGTCATGACATAAAAGTAGCATCCGCCAAAGGTTCAGCCTTTGCAAGAAGGGGGTTAGGTGTTGTGGTTCATTTTGTGCCAAAATTCATGATAAAATTGTTAGTGATGTCAAATGGAAAATTTATTTATAGGCTCAGGACCACAATCATATGGTATGGAGCACAAATAACAAATAACAACAAACAGACAGATCCAGCATACAGCTGGATTAGCACAAAACAGCAAATATTGCATAAACAGAGGAAGAACATTCTTCAAAGAGACGCCCAGTTTCCCAATAAATTTTGGCTAATCTGATTGTAGCAACAAAATTAATTTATGCATATAAGGGGAACCTTACATAGGACTGCAAATACCTTGCTCTGAAATTGATTATGCTTTCATTCTTACATTCAAACAAAATATCATACTCATCTGCCAGACAGTTGTCATTACACAGGCTACATCCTCTGGTTTATTTGGCTGCTTTAACTAAGGTTGTTGTGGCTACAAGAGGTACAACTTACCCTAAAGATCCCTTGCCTGCCTGGGTTGTTCAAGAATGATCGCCAAATTGGGATTCTATGTTTTAGCTATCTTAGGGGTAGGGTTAGGCGCTGTCAAACTTTTCCAATTTGATCAAATCTGCTGTGGTTAAACCCTCTTTGAGCAAATGGTCTCAAACTAGCCAATATATTACAGTATTTGTGTTCTATTAATCTTTTTGAGCCACTGCAGTCTGCTAAACATTCTATTGAAAAAGCACTCACAAAGGTGATAAATATCCTCTTGTTGTTAGACCTTAGCGCTGCTTTTGATACAATTGTATTCATTTGTACAGGGTCAAAAAATTTCTGACCGGGTGCTTAAGTGGCTGAGATCCTGCCTTTCAGAAAGAGCTCAATGTGTGTTTTATAATAAAACATTTTGTCATTCTTCACAATTCAAAGCACGGGGTTCCTAACGGTTCCGGTACGGTGTAAAGGTACCATTGATTCTGAGGCATATATTGGAATTTTAGAGAGACATATGTTGCCGTCAACATTTCTTCCAGGTACACCCATGCTTATTTTAGCAGGACAATGTCAGGCCTCATTCAGCATGGGCTACAACAGTGTGGCTTCATAGACACAGAGTGTGTGTGCGCCTGACTGGCCTGCTGCTAGTCCAGATATATCTCCTACTGAACATGTATGGAGCATCATTAAGAGGAGAATCATAGAACAGTGACCACAGAATGTTGAGCAGCTGAAGTTTTGTATCAGGCAAGAATGGACAAAAATTCCAATTGCTAAACTGTCACAATTAGTTTCTTCACTTCCCAAACCATTAGAAAGTGTTATTGAAAGGAAATGTGATGTAACCCAATGGTAAACATGCATCTGTCTAAATGTTGTTTATATTTACAAAATACAATTAAGCTGGTCAGTAAAATTATTGAAAAACTGTTCTTTGTATATTTGTCAGTTAAATAAATTTTCACATGAATTAACAAATCACAGATATTGCATTTGGCATTGCATTTTGGAAAATATCCCAACTGCTGATGTTCTCAATGTACCTTGACTTTTGTTATAACACTTTATTTACTTTTATTCCCAGTGCAAAGGCAGAAACCTCTAGAAGGCAATTTGTATTTGCTGGTTGAAAATGATATAATAATAATGAAGTAATGAAGTTATAATAATACACCATATAATTGCTAAGTTTTTATTAGGGAATAATGAATTTGTGATATTGTCTTTATCAACACGTCATTCATACCTTCCTGGTGAAACTGTCGTGAGAGATGTTATCTGCCAAAGCCAGTGTGTACATTCTGCCATGTAACAGGCTTTGAAAAGAGTTGATGAAACTGGACTTTCCAGCTCCAGCTGGGCCATGAAGAAGAATCCTGAGCTGCTGGCCTCCATCATGAGGTTTGTAGTTCTTCACATACTGTAGATTGCTCTGTTTGTCTCTGCTCAAGGAAGGAAACATTACATCAGAGTATAGACAAAACTCACACATATGTCACACATTAACAGAAAAATTAATCAGGAGTACATCAAACAAGGAAAAAGGGAAAAACAAACAATCAATCACAAGGAAATTTCTGCGGTTTCTGCTGTGAAAGATTTCAATTTCAAGCTAACATTGATGGTGTGGACACACTCACCCCCAGTTTATTTTCCTCCATGGTTCGTTGAGAACTGACAAATACACAACACATGTTCAGATAAGACAAAATATTATGAAAAAACACAGTTCTTCTTGCATCAATATGTAATAATCCAAAAATAAGAATTTTTTTTTGACAATCTTACGTGGAGGAGTTTTGGATGCATTTGATTTGGAGGATTTATGTCCCATGGCTGGAGGATAAAATAGTTAAATACATCAAAATTAGATATTATCAGAATTTATTCAAAACTAAAAAAACAAAAACACCTGGAACACAATGAAAAAAATCTTAAAATATGATTCATTTTGTCATGTTGACGTCAGTTCATACAATGGTCCTATTTTTATTCTTCAATAATCACGATGCTGGTATTAAAACAGACAGATATAAAGCACTGTCACAATCACAGGAAACACACACATTTGAGGATGAATGTAACAGAAGCATAGTACCTGTGTTGTTGGGTCCTGGAACAAAGTGAAAGACTGAATATGAGCCTTGGACTAAGGGAGAAGTCTATGTAGACATCAGGTTTGTAGTTTTCATTATGAAGACGCGCATATCTACAGAGAAGCTCCCCTTAGTCTCTTCCGGCCCTTAAACCACACGTTTTCAGTTTCAGTTTCACAGTGCAAGACATTTTCTTTTGAAGCAATACAGTTTTGAGATGAATGTAGCACTCTGACAACACATGCAGAATTTGTTTTCATTGTCTTGCTGAAATAAGCAAAACATCTTGTCTACTTGGCAGCATACGTTGCTCCAAAACCTATATTGTTCAGCACCCATGCCATGTGCACTAATGCACTCCGATACCATCACAGATGCTGGTTTTTACACTGTTCACTTATTAAAAGACAGATGGTCCTTCTCCTCTTTAGCCCGGAGGACACAGCGTCCATGATTTCCAAACATAAATAAAAATTTTGACTCCTATAAATGAGCTCAGGTCCACAGCAGGCTGCAAAAGTTTCTGGATCTGGTTTATAAACAGTTTCCTCTTTGCATGGTTTCAAATTGCATTTGTTGGTGGGTCGATGATTCACAGACAATAGTTTTTGTAACCTTGGTTCTCTAAGTGGAGAGACTGTCTCTCCACTGTTACATATTCCATATGCAGGGGGATGATCCCCTAAGGTCAGGTACGTGGAAACCTCTTTACTAGGGAACCAGCAGATGGCAGTATTTGTTTTGCCATCAGCTGGGACCCGATGACCAGAATTTCTGTTTTGTCTGAGTTCAGCTGGAGGAAATTATTTGACATCCATTTTTTAAGGCAGTTGTTAAGTGAACTGAGCATTCCAGGGTCTGTGGATCTGACAGGCAAGTACATTTGTGTGTCATCAGCATAAATATGAAAAGAAATGCCATGTTTATGGATAATATGTCCAAGGGGAAGCGCTAAGGTCCAGGAGTACCAGGACTGAGCACATGCCTTCATCAGCAGACATTAAAAGGTCATTGGTGACTTTAAGCAGGGCAGTCTCAGTGCTGTGGTACTTCCTGAAACCAGACTGAAACTTTTCAAATATTTTGTTATTTTCCAGCACAGTGAGCAGCTGTTTGGACACAATTCTTTCTAGAATCTTTGCAATAAAAGGCAGTTTTGAAATTGGTCTAAAATTATGTGGGAGGGAGGGATCTAAACCAGGTTTCTTTAAAAGTGGGTTCACGCAAGCTGTTTTAAAATAATCAGGGACACAACCAGTAGATAGGGAGCTGTTGAAAACAGAGATCAAATGGGGCCCAACAGAATCCATTACTTTCAGTAAAAACTTTTACATCAAGTGGGCTGGAGGACACTCTCATTTGTGATACTGTTTTTAAAGCTCAGACAAGTCGATGGGATAAAACTGGTTAAAACTCTGTTGTTGCTGGTGAGGAACCTCTGAGTAAGAGGCCACGGGGGTAATAGAGGCTCTGATTGACACCACCTTATTGGTAAAATAAGATAAAAACAATTCACAGTCATCATTACTTCCAGCTGAGGCACAAGGAGGGGTTGGGTTTACCAGCTGATCCACAGTCTTAAACAGAAACCTGGGATTGTGTTTATGTGATGTGGGCTTTGTAGATCATTGGCAGACTTTCTGGGGAAGACCAGATCTGGTCTGATCCGGAGAGACGGCATCCATCCCACTTGGAAAGGAGCAGCTCTCATTTCTAGAAATCTGGCCAAGTTTATTAGTGGACCAAATCCATGACAACCCAGAGTTGAGACCAGGAGGCAGAATCGCAGTCTAACACACTTCTCTGCCCTTCTTTTTCAGCAGTTACCCACCCAAAACCCTACGCAGAGTCGCAGTCTAACACACTTCTCTGCTCCTCCATTTCAGGAGTTACTTAGTGAAAATCCTATAGTGACGGTGTCTGTCCCCCGACCATCGAAATTATTTAAACAGGTAAACAGAAGAGGAACTGTGCATAAAAACCTCATAAAAATTAAAACCACAAGAGCAATAGTGCAAACGAATAGGAGAGTTAAATGTGGACTCTTAAACATCAGATCTCTCTCTTCTAAAGGTGTACTAGTAAATGAACTAATATCAGATTATGATATTGATTTATTTGGTCTTACTGAAACCTGGCTGGGTGATGGAGAATATGTTAGCCTAAATGAATCCACCCCTCCCAGTCATATTAATACTCACATTCCTCGAGGCACAGGCCGAGGAGGTGGAGTTGCAGCTATCTTCGACTCTAGCCTACTAATCAGCTCTAAACCTAAACTAAACTATAACTCATTTGAAAGCCTCGCTCTTAGTCTTTCATACGTTTCCAAGTTGGAAATCACTGCAACCAATTCTTTTTGTTATAGTGTACCGAGCACCTGGCCCGTTCTCTGAATTCTTATCTGAATTTGCAGAGTTTTTGTCAACTTTAGTCCTTAAAACGGACAAAGTTATTATTGTAGGGGATTTTAATATTCATGTGGACGTTGAGAATGACAGCTTTAGTACTGCGTTTATCTCTCTGTTAGATTCCATTGGCTTCTCTCAGAGTGTTCATGAACCGACTCACTGTTTTAACCACACCCTCGACCTTGTTTTGGTGTATGGTATTGAAATTGAACATTTAGTGGTGTTCCCACAGAATCCCTCTTTATCCGACCACTGTTTGATAACTTTTGAGTTTGTATTGCTGAACTACTCGCCATTGGGCAAAAATTTCTATACAAGATGTCTGTCTGAATTTAAGGATGCGATTCCATCAGCTCTAAATACATTATCTAGTCACAAAGTAACGGAGGACTCCTATGCTAATTTCAGTCCCTCCCAAATCGATCATCTTGTTGATAGTGCTGCAGGCTCGCTGCGAATGACACTCGACTCTGTAGCCCCTCTAAAAAAGAAAATACTAAAACAAAGACGGTTAGCTCCATGGTATAATACTGAAACTCGCAAATTAAAGCAAATATCGCGGAAACTTGAGAGGAATTGGCGTTCCACCAAAGTGGAAAATTCTCGTTTAATTTGGCAAGATAGTCTTAAAACTTATAGGAAGGCCCTCCGTAATGCCAGAGCAGCGTACTACTCGTCATTAATAGAGGAAAATAGGAACAACCCCAGGTTTCTTTTCAGCACTGTAGCCAGGCTGACAGAGAGTCACAGCTCTATTGAGCCAAGTATTCCCATAGCTCTCAGTAGTTACGACTTCATGAGCTTCTTTAATGATAAAATTCTAGCTATTAGAAACAAAATTCACCAAGACCTGCCCTCAACTGGCACCGACTTATCTCTTAACTCAGGAACCTTAGAAACAGCTGTAGAACCAGATACATGTTTAGACTGTTTTGCTTCCCTCAATCTTTACCAACTAACTTCAATAATTTCTTCATCTAAACCATCAACCTGCCTCTTAGACCCCATCCCGACTAGGCTGCTTAAAGATGTTTGCACCTCTATACTAGATATGATCAATCTATCTTCATCAACAGGCTATGTACCACAGTAATTTAAAGTAACTGTAATTAAACCTTTTCTGAAAAAGCCCAAAGTTGATCCGGATGTTTTAGCCAATTATAGACCTATATCTAACCTTCCATTTCTCTCTAAGGTTCTGGAGAAAGCAGTTGCTAAACAGCTGTGTGACTTTCTACAGAGCAATAGTTTATTTGAGGATTTTCTCAAATAAACTATGTGTGGATATTGTGTAGGCTGCCTCCCTCTCTCTCTCTCTCTCTCTCTCGCTCTCTCTCTCCCTCTGTCTCCTTCACCCCAACCGGTCGAGGCAGATGGCCGCCCACCCTGAGCCATGGTTCTGCTCGAGGTTTCTGCCTCTTAAAAGGAAGTTTTTCCTTGCCTCTGTCTCCTAGTGCTTGCTCTTGGTGGGAACTGTTGGGCTTCTGTAAATAGCATCATAGAGTACGGTCTAGACCTGCTCTTTTATGAAAAGCGTTGTGAGATAACTGTTGTTGTGATTTGGCGCTATATAAATAAAATTGAATTGAATTGAATTATCAGTACAGTACTGTAATAATCATGACAGGAGCCCGCCAAGTTTCATGAAGGTCAAGTTTTACATGAGCTATCAAATGAATTTAGGATGCTTTCTTCCCTAATGAACACAAACATTGTGCATGCCTTTCTGGTGTAGACTTCTTCAGACAGGGCACACATTCTGTGTCTTCTAAGACACAGTTAACAGAGTTGATGAAACTGGAATTTCCACCGCCAGCCGGCCCATAAAGAAGAATCCTGAGCTGCTGGCCTTCAACATGAGGCTTAAAGTTCTTCACATACTGCAGAGCGCCCTGTTTGTCTCTGCAGAAGGAAACATTACATTATGGACTGCAGTTTGATCTTACGGTTTCTATTTTGTCTATAATGCTCAGATGTCAGAGACATCTGGGAAGTCCATCTTCCCAAAAGAGACAATAAGGAAACAAGTCCATCACAAGTTCTTTTGTAATGTGAAAGATGAAAAAAGCTCATATTGAAGGTGCAGACACACTCACCCCCAGCTTATTTCCCTCCATGGGTTGGCTGAGAACTGACAAATACAGGATACATGTTCACACAAGACGGAAGATTACAAAGGAAGGCTTTACTATCATAATGCAACAATGTGTACTTTAATTTTATAGAAAAGATAATAACACACGTTTACAAATAATCTCACATGAAGCATTTTGGGTTCCACCATATATGAAGTGTCCTGCTCCCATGGCTGGAGAGTAAATCAGCATAAAATATATAAATAATAATCTTAGCTTTATATTACTTACTAATATTACATTTGCTAAAAACAGCATGTGTAACAAGTTAAAATTAAGATACCTAATTAAAAATCTAAATACATTTAAACTAGCCTAACCCATCTTAAAAAGCTATCAACTGAAACAAAGTTACGGTTTAGCTAAAATATAATAAACAGAACACACTTAATTATTAAAAACACACTTAATTTCATCATGTGATGTGACTGTATTTAAGTTATTTAATTCTGCAGTAAACACCACAGAAAACCTAAAATTAGTAAGTCACAACAAGCACAATGTTGGATGCATGTCATATTAGAAACATACCTGTGTTGTTGCGTTGGAGCACAGTGAACGGCAAAAGGTGAACCTTTGGACTAATGTCTGTAATA